CTGTTGCTCGCTTGGAAGATAGGAAAATTCTGAGATGAAGTCGGCAACAGCTTGCCCTTTGATGGTCGACCTGGGCTTGTACTTCAGGTCGAACTGGCTTAATTCCATTGCCTATTTGAGCAGTTTACCCGGAGCTTCTGGTTTCTGGAGGACCTTTCTGAGGGGGTAATTAGTCATTACATAGACCGTATGGGCGTGGAAGTAAGGTCGCAGCTTTCTGGACGCGATCAGTAGAGCATAGGCTAATTATTCTATTTCTGGATACCGCATCTCGGCATCCAACAGGCGCTTGCTCGCGTAGTATACTGGCCATTATGCCTTTTCCTCCTCCCGTACTAGAGCTGCACTGACCGCGAACAGAGAGACGGACAGATAGAGGAGCATGATTTCTTGCGGAAGAGGCTTAGAGAGGAGAGGTGGCTTCCCTAGGTGTTCTTTTATACTTTAGAACGCCTGTTCGCATTCGGGAGTCCATTCGAATTTCTTATTGGCCTTCAGAACATTGAAAAATGGCAAGTAGCGGTCTGTTAGCCTCGATATGAAGCGACTAAGTGCCGCTATTCGCCCATTTAGACTCATGACCTGTTTTTTGTTGGTCGGGCTCTTCATATCGAGCAGAGCTTGAATCTTCTCGGGGTTTATTTCTATCCCTCGCTGATTAACTAGGAACTTTCCTGACGATACTCCGAATGAACACTTAAGAGGATTCAGCTTCATTCTGTACAGCCGAAGGATGTTAAACATCTCAGCGAGATGTGCGATGTGTTATGAGGCGACCTAGGATTTGACCAGCATGTCATCCACATAGACCTCCATTGTTTTTCTGATCTGGTCGGAGAACATTCGGTTAACCAACCTCTGGTAGATCGCGCCAGCATTCTTGAGGCCGAAAGGCATAACTTTGTAACAATAGAGCCCTCAGTCTGTAATGAAAGACGTATGCTCCTCGTCTAGCCCATACATCGGGATTTGATTGTATCCCGAGTATGCATCCATGAAACTTAGCAGCTCGTGCCCCGAGGTGGCATCCATGAAACTTAGCAGCTCGTGCCCCGAGGTGGCATCCATAAGTTGGTCGATTCTCGACAGAGGGAAGCTGTCTTTCGGGCAAGCCTTGTTGAGGTCGTTGAAATCAACACAGGTCCGCCACTTGCCGTTTGGCTTCTTTACCAGGACCGGGTTGGTAACCCAGGTCGGGTAGAGTGCCTCTCGGATGGACCCATTTCGGAGGAGGTTTTCCACTTCTGATTTGAATGCAACATACCGCTCCAGATCCATTGCTCTTCTTTTCTGGCGAACCGGTTTGGCCTCACTGTTGACGTTCAATGCATGGCAAATAATGTTCGGGCTGATCCCGACCATATCTGCATGCGACCAGGCAAACACGTCAATGTTTTCTTTTAAGAAGCTTATCAGTTCGGACGTGAGCTGAGGGTTGAGGCTGCTCCCAACCCTTAGTATCCGGCTTGGCTCTTTCAGGTCGACTGAAACTTCAAACAAGTCCCCAACTAGCTAGAAGGGATCTCCTGAATTCGAGGATCCAAATTATCCTCTGCTGGGCCAGGCTGTGACTCGATCCTGCTGATCGCCATAGCCTGTCGGGGTGCACTTCGCAGAACGCCCTTTCCTTTACTTGCCATCTGCACCACTCTTACGTAGCAGTCGCGAGTTGCGCTTTGTGATCTGGTCACTTCCCCTATCCCTGTTAGGGTGGGGAACTTCATCTTGAGGTGGTATATGGAAGTGACTGCCTTGAAGCTTCTCAACAAAGGTCGTCCCAAGATTCCATTGAAGGCCAATGGGCAATCCACGACCAAGAATTCGGTAAGCCTAGTTACCTCGTCGTAGTCACCGAGCGTGACTGGGAGCTGAATCGTTCCTTTGGGGATCAGGTGGTCTCTTGTAAAGCCATAGAGGGGGATCGAGGCGGGCTTTAGGTCGGCCTCGTCCAGGTTCATTCTTTCGAAAGCAGTTTGGAACAGGATGTTCACAGCGCTTCCGTTGTCCACAAGCATTCTGCAGACATTATGGCTCCCTATGAGGGGCGTGATCACCAGGGCATCGTCGTGAGGATGGTGCAGGCGAGCTGCTTCCTTTTCGCTAAAGGTGATCGGCTCCTCCTTTCGAGCCTTTTGCGGTCGCTGCGATGTATTCATTACCCTGATTGGGTCGTGATATGCTTCGCGAGCATACCTTTCCTATGCACCTCGCGTGTTTCCCGCGAGTTGCGGGCCTCCGAAGATTATGTTAACGCTACTGTATCCACTACGATCACGACGCTTTTTCTTTCGCTCCTCTTGGTTCTCTTTTGGAGCAGAGTCATCAATATACTCCTTGAAGTGTCCTTTCTTGATGAGCTCTTCGATTGCCTGCTTTAGAGCTCGGCATTCATCGGTGTGATGCCCGTTGTCCCGATGAAAATGGTAGTACTTTTTGCTGTTTCTGGCCGTAGCAGGGGTTTTCATGGGTTCCGGCTCACCGAGCAGGCTGGCCTCTTCGGATTTGTCCAGAATTGCAGATATGGACACATTTAGCGGAGTGTATTGAATTCTGTCGCGGTCGCGACGAGGAACATGAGCATAGGACTTTTTATGCTCGTAGCGGGGTTTCTTCCCTTTTCGTTGATCATCAATGTCTCCTCTACGATCAGCTCTCCTACTTTCTCCCTGACCAGACATACTGCTTGAAGTGCCGTGATCGCGACGGCGGAGTGCCGCCAATGAATTCTCTATTCGGAGATGTTTTTCTGCAAGGTTGTAAAATCTGGTGAGGGAAACATCGTCCTCATCCTGTAATTCTATCCACAGGTCGGTTTGCGAGCGAACTCCAGCTATTATGAGCGTTTGGATGGACTCTTCGGGGGCATGAGCCACCTTGTTGAGTTCCCTGTGAAAACGGTCGATGTAGGATTGTAGGGATTCGTCCCTTTCTTGCCTTATGTTGCTGAGATAGCTCAAAGGCATCGAAAACTTCCGATTTGCTTAGAAATGCCGCAGGAACGTCGTGCTCATCTGAGGCCACGAACTGATCGATCCCGTTGGGAGCGACCTTAACCACCGCTTGGCATGAGAAGTCAGCGTCACGGCCAAACAACGGCATTTTGCAAGATTCGAAACCTGTTGGAGCTCCATCAGGTCGTTGAACTCATACAAATGATCCTGCGGGTCATGGTTCCCATCAAACGGCCGCATGTCGGGTATTCTGAACCCTGGTGAGAGTGGAGTAGCTAGCACTTCGGGAGAGATGGGGGATGCAGATACGACCTGAGCCTGCTCGTTTTGCTGCTTTCTCAGCCTGTCCAGAGCTCGCTGTAGCTCCTCAATTTGTGGTAACGGAGCCAATTGGAGATTGCTTTCACCCATGCGAGTCCGGCCTTCGCGATTACGGTTCAGGAAAGTCCGAAGGTCGGACTCCTCTTCCCCTCGGCCGACATTTCTGGCCGCTCTCGGCACACGCTGACTAGAGGCGTGTGAAGGCGATGGATAGTGCGGGGTATTTTCACGACCCTCGCGGTAGTATGAATTGCCCCACGAGGTGTGGAGACCACTCGCATGATAGCGATCAAGATCGTTCTGCTGGCGGTGATAAGAATCGTCCCGCTCGGCACTTTTGCTTGGGTTCATCTGCGACGTGGCGTGGGACAGCTCGGGATTCACTTTTTTGCCGAGTCTTAGCTTTGCCGGCACCCTGCTTGGGGCATGGTTTGAGTTCGCTAGCCCTTTGGAGCCCGTAGGCTTGCTTTTTGCCACTTGCTTACCCTTATGTCTACACGCTGCAGTGCTCGCGGCACGGACTATTTCCCTTTGTCGCGCTTTCGGGCGACCTACAGGCGTTTTTGGCGGTTGCACCGCCCCAACTGTTCTTGATGGCACGCCTTGGTCCAAACGGTCTGATGGCGGGGTCAAGTTGCGAAGCTGCTGGGATATCTACCGCAGCATTTTGCGGAACTGGAAGTATTCTGGAAGAGGTATCCCCTTGGGTCAGGGGGACTCCCTCAGCGCGCTGGTTGGCTTGCTCAAGTTCAGATTGGCGGGCCATTTGCTGCTGTAGGACCAGTAGGTTAGAGATTCTCCTGATGAAGGATGAACACTAAATCTGGGCCCTCCTTCTAGCGCCAAACTGTTGATGCGTGGTTTTAACACCAACTAATCGACACATGCGTAACATTGATTGGTCAAGAGACACACGTAATTATGGATAGAATGTAGAATAAATGCAATGAGAGTTTTTTAAAGTGGTTCGGATGCTAAGGTATCAAGTCCTACGTCCACTGATTTGTATTAGTATTGTGGGTCAGGTCGCAACAGCGGACTGACTTACAAATGATTAGGGAAAAATAAATACAAAGTTTACAAGAGAGAGAGAGAGAGAGAGAGAGAGAGAGAGAGAGAGAGAGAGAGAGCTAGTTCAGAGTGTAAAAATAGCCGAATCCCCTTAATGAAGGGGTCTTCCTCTTTTTATAGCGAGATGAATGCAAGTAATCATCATTAAATCTATGGGTTGGTGTGAATGTCAGGACTAAATCCGGCTTTATGTCACATTGCCCTCCTTCTAAGCTGATTTCACGCGATTTGGAGTAGGGAGTGGACACGTGGGAGCTCCACGGCGTCTTGTACGCCTGACGTGCGTTTACCGTTCTGACAGGAGCAGGTCACACTTCATCACGTGATTTCCCACGTCAGCCCTTGATTTCCCAAGCCTAACAACTCACAAGAAGTATCAAAATTTAAGGAAAAAATTTAAGCCTCGGTATCTGTATACATGCAATAACATAAGAAATCAGATAAAAAAATATGGGTAAGAGCAAGTCAATCATAAAAATAAAACAGGGATATGATGGTAAATTGGGAGGGGAACAAGGTTAACAAACTTTTTGGTTTGAAACAGTCAGGCAACTAATTTAGGCCACAATCCCGGCCTTTTCGATTTACTCAGACTTCATTTATAATAATAATAATAATAATATTATCAATTTTATTGTAACAAATTTTCTCTATACTTTGTTCCAATTTGTTGTTTGTTTTTCTTTTCTCTTAATTCTCATCCACAAAACCCTACTTTCTTTTCCATCGAATAATAATATATCAAACGGTTTATGCCACTCTATCTCTTCGTTTTTTCCCCTTCATTTAAACTTAAAATATTCCTTTTTTGATTCTGGGTTCTCAGTTTACGTGACTATAACTCTCCGCTTTTCACATTTTTTTTGCTCCCCCACTTTGACAAATTCAAGAATTTTCAGTTTTTCCGTGTGTTTTTGTGGGTTGGGATTGATTTTTCACCGCTTGAAGTCTACAATTTGGAATTGCGTAAGAAAAGTCAGAAAGTAAAACTTCTTTTCGCCTTGTTTCTGGGTATAAAAGAACAGAAAATTTTGGTTTACATTTGGGAAAAAGTTTTGGTTTTTTTTATTCAAAGTACTTTAGAAATGGATTCCGGTAGTGGTGGGGGAGTTGAAGGTGCTGCAAAAAATGAAAAATCCGATAATAGTGAAACTGAAAATGGGTTGGTTTCAGATGTGAAGAGTGGTAGCAAGAGGGACTTGTTTTTTAGAGCTGATAAGATTGATTTCAAGAGCTGGGATATTCAGCTGGAGAAGCACTTGAGCAGAGTTTGGTGTAAGGATAGAGAAGTTCATCCAAGGAAACAGGAAGAGTGGGAAATTGATTTGGCTAAACTTGATATAAGACATGAAGTGGCTCGTGGCACTTATGGAACTGTTTATCGCGGCATTTATGATGGCCAAGATGTTGCAGGTAGACTTTGTGTATTTCCTTTCGGTTCCTCTATTGTTATAAACAACTCAATCTATGATTTCAATCCTTTCTGATCATATTGTTTAATGATATGTGGTTCTCTTGAGTTTACTTGACTTGGTTGATATCATTTCATCAGTTTGTCACTTGGTAATAGTTATAGTCTGAAGTTTTATATAATTGTTAATGGTGTAAGTTGCTTTGATGCCTCAATAATCATCAATATCACTACTGAGATCAACCCATTGATCAGTTTGTAATATCTTGTGGATATTGCAGTGAAGATATTGGATTGGGGAGAGGATGGAATGGCCACTTCAGCTGAAACTGCAGCTCTCCGGGCATCATTTCGGCAAGAGGTGGCCGTCTGGCAAAAGCTTGACCACCCGAATGTTACAAAGGTAGAAATTTTCTAGTCTTAATTTATGATATCTTCCTCCTTCAACTAGTATATTGATGAAAATTTTTGGTCCTTTTGTCTTTGTTAATTTTTTGTCGATTTTACTCAGATTATCATAGTGTACTTGCTGCTGTTTCAAATTATGGTGTTTAAATTTTCTGTTACAGTTTATTGGAGCTTCAATGGGAACATCCAATCTTAAGATTCCTTCGGAAAGTACTACAAGTGACTACCATAATTCTATTCCTTCCAGGGCTTGTTGTGTTGTTGTTGAGTTCGTTCCAGGTGGGACATTGAAGAAATTTTTATTCAGGAATAGAAAGAAAAAACTTGCCTTTAAGGTCGTGATTGAACTTGCTTTGGACCTCTCTAGAGGGTGAGTGCAGCATATCATCATTATCTCAAACTTTTCAATTCTTGAATTTTGGGATTTAAATTACTGATTATACTTGTTTTGCTTCTACTGTTGCAGATTGAGTTATCTTCACTCAAAGAACATTGTACATCGAGATGTGAAGACAGAATATATGTTGCTCGATGCTAATAGAAATTTGAAAATCCCTGATTTTGGCGTTGCTCGAGTTGAAGCTCAGAACCCAAGAGACATGACTGGGGAAACTGGAACTCTTGGCTACATGGCCCCTGAGGTACCAACTCTTCTCCAATTCCTTAAAGGTCTAACAATGGTTTTTAAACTTCAAAACTATAACCACATTAACATTTTCCATAAGCCTGGAGTCTCAATTGTGACAATATCATATTTAAATGAAATTGTTGCTAGTTTTCTTCCTCCGTTCCCTTGTTCATGAGTTCACATTTCTTTGAAAGCCGGAGAAGAATTCTGACAGAGCTAACTTGTGCAGGTGCTTGATGGGAAGCCTTACAATCGGAAATGTGATGTCTACAGCTTTGGTATATGCTTATGGGAAATCTATTGCTGCGACATGCCTTATCCTGATCTTAGTTTCGCTGATGTTTCGTCTGCAGTTGTTCGACAGGTTTGTCTGTGATTATAAGTATATATAAAACATAGACAGTTGCTTCTCTAATGTGATCATGTTGCAAATTTTTTATTATACAGTCCTTAAATTCCAGACCTCAACTTTGAACTTCAATTAACTCTTACTCTCATAAGTTAAATCTTGCATACACAGATTGAGATTCGGATTTTAAGTAAACGAAATTGCATATCAATTTTTTGTTTCAGAACTTGCGACCGGATATCCCTCGATGTTGTCCGCATTCATTGGCAGGCATAATGCGAAAATGCTGGGATGCAAACCCAGAAAAACGGCCTGACATGGAGGAGGTGGTGAGGTTGCTAGAAGCAGTAGACACAAGCAAGGGAGGAGGCATGATACCTGAAGATCAAGCTCATGGATGTTTCTGCTTCATTCCATCTCGAGGCCCATGATTTGTTTTAATTTTCATTTGGTCTTAATTCATATCAATATTTGTATCATGTGCACTTCAGATAAAAAAAAAAAAAAAAAGGGTCATGAATGAAGCAGAAACAGTTTATTTCTGCACCTGAGATCATTTATTGATTTCTGTAATGCATGAAAAAATAATCTTTGCAAGACAGATAAAGCAGTGGTTCCGGTTGAAATCGTACTCCCGTTTCAGTTGTATTGAAAACTAGCATTCTATTTTTGTAATTATTTCAATCAGTTGTATGAAATTCTTGAATTTCAAATTCGTTTTTGAAATAAAAGTATATGCTTAGATTAAATTCATAAAACGAAACCAGTTAATCTCAAGCCAATGAATGACGGGACACTTTGCCTTCCCCTGTCACTAGTTTTGCAGATTAATCGATCCCATATTTCATTGATTTGATTGGAGATCACTAAATATATTGACTTAATCCAGATTTGTCCATCTTTACTTGAATAGGAGGATTGGAAAATCTGAAGAAAATAGAATCCCACAAAGAGTGGAGCCATGTGAGAGTAGATGACAAGTGTTTAGCATATCAGGTTCGCCATTTATGGAAGAAAGAATGAATTTTTAATTTGTAGTTAAACATAAAAATGTCTTCTTTTTCAAGTGCAAATCCCATGTGTACGAATTCTGATTCCAGAGAATGTGGAGATCTTTAATGGTAGAATGATTTGATTTTGGTGTTGTATAGCTAATGGAAGCAGAATGTTTTCCCAATTTCCAATTTGCCCCTCAACAATTATTCTCTTCTTGTTGCCCATTTGCTCTACAACTGTTAGCCCTAAGAGATAAGGCATAAGCACTACTGTTGAGTCTTCATCCTTCATGTTATTTTATTAGATTCTTTTTTATTTTTTATTGTATAAATTTCAATTTAATGGTGAAAATATGGCGTCTCTATAAATTGAGAACCATTCGTGGCGACACACGAGTGCTGTAGTTTGTTAAGTTCGCTTAGATTACTTGCTCATCAATCATCATCGAACTAAACTCTCACCAAAACAAGAAGTCGGGCAGCGCCGAAACCATGTCGTCGTTAATGACGGATTTTCTGCGGGAAGCGGGTGGAACCGCCGTGATTGATGGTGGACTTGCGACGGAACTCGAACGTTACGGCGCTGACCTCAACGATCCCTTGTGGAGCGCCAAGTGTCTCCTCACTTCTCCTCACCTCATTCGCCAGGCACCTCTATCTTTCTCTTCTTTTTGCTTTATGAAATTTAGATTTTCAGAATTAGTCCTTATTTTCTTAATGTGTATATTTAATATTTATGAATTCAACTGAGTTGTGATGATACTTGAAACTTAAACAAGTACATAGTGACATTCAAGTAAATCGAGTTCTGATGATGGTTTCTTTTCTTTTGCTAAACGGAGCAGGTTCATCTGGACTATCTTGAAGCTGGTGCAGATATTATAATCACAGCGTCATATCAGGTGTTAGCAGTTCTTTGTCTCTCTGTGTTTGGGTGATTCTTGCTCTTTCTGAGATTAACATTTGGGTTTACTTTAATTTGGACAGGCCACCATCCAGGGTTTTGAGCATAAAGGCTTCTCTAGAGAAAAAAGTGAAGCCATGCTGAGAAAATGTGTCGAAATTGCCTGTGAGGCACGGGATATGTATTATAAGAGATGTAGTGAAAGTGCTGGTGATAGCATTGGAGAAGGTAGGATTCTTAAACATCGTCCAATTTTAGTTGCAGCATCTGTGGGAAGTTATGGAGCATATTTGGCTGATGGATCTGAGTACAGGTGAGTTAAAGCCTGATTGCTTAAGTCATGTCATAAGCAATGTGCTGTAACTTGATTTTTTATGGTATTACTTCAATTTAGTAGTATATCATTTGAAAGTGCTAGTTCTTGTAAATTGCATGGATATTGGTTTTTTCGCTGTTAATGTTCTTTGTGGAGTTTCTTGTGCTGTATGTTTTTTGTGAACCGTTTAGTCTAAAGCATAATCATATCATGATCCAGAATTTGTGTTTTGAAGGATCAAAGTACTCTATATATAAATAGTGTGTGGCTGGAATAACATGGACAGCAGCTGATCATTTTACGACCTGCCCCTTTGTTCATCTATTATACAGCCAATTTCTTTTCCAGTGACCTAAATCATGGATGAAATCCCAAATTAAATTTGCTGGCTTCTGTTGTGTACTGTTCCTTTATGTGAATCAAACTTCATGAAAGTGAGCTGACACTTCAGCAATCATCTGCTTCTTATGTTGTTGCTGTCTCTGTCCATAGTGGAAACTATGGCGATTCAATCACACTAGAAGCTTTGAAAGACTTTCACCGCAGAAGGGTTCAGATCCTGGTGGAATCGGGTCCTGACATAATAGCATTTGAAACAGTTCCAAATAAGCTCGAAGCTCAGGTATTGGCCGCATGCTTGTGGTCATTAGATGATGTTTTAATTTCCTTTTTTCTTTGTACAAGTTATATTTATTGATATGTAGGGTAGCTTCTGTCATATCATTGTCACTGAATATCTTATCCACCAAAAAAGAAACTTGTAAATTTGTTCTATAAAGCCTCTGGTTATTGGTTTCATTACTATGCTTCACTTCTAAAAAGATATAAGTATTTGGAGTATACCTAAGTTTTTTCTTTGTTGTTAGACTGCTCACTCTCTGTAGTCTGTATGGCTCACAAGTTTCTTGATTTGTCTACTATGGTGTCCAATTCTATTGACTTTAGTGGACACGCAAATTTCTCATGGAGTCAAAGCTTGACTCGTGGAAAGCTTTAGTAAAAGGGCCATAAGGATATTTTCCAACTTAACAATTATTCTTGCTGTAATTTTAGGTACATTCTCATATATTATGCTTTGTTCTTTCAGGCTTATGCTGAGCTCTTAGAGGAAGAGGACATAAAAATTCCTGCTTGGTTTTCTTTTAACTCTAAAGATGGTGTCAATGTGGTTAGCGGTGATTCGTTACTTGAATGCGCCTCAATCGCTGAATCATGCAGAAAAGTAGTTGCTGTAGGAATCAACTGCACACCTCCTAGATTTATCAATGGACTGATTTTAGCTATTAAGAAGGTATAATTATTGAGCTTATGGTCTTTTGTTGAAAAAAATAATCAGTCAAGTAGAATTTTTATCTCAGTTTGTCAGTGTTTTCATTGTTATGTTGTAAATTTTAAACATGTTTGTAGATTGCTAATAGCCAAAAGAGTTGCACGTTTGTTACAATAATTTATTTTGTCATTTAAGGGACATAAATTAACTAATTGTATAACTCTCTGATTTATGGAAAACTCACTTCATGAATAATGCCTTCAGGTTACTACTAAACCGATACTCATATATCCCAACAGCGGTGAATTTTATGATGCTGATCGGAAGGAGTGGGTGGTAAGTTCTGTTTTAATGATAGTGTTAAGTTTCTATATACCCAAATAATTAAGAAATAAATTTGTCAGGATAGGCTGGGCAGTTAAGGTTTACTTTATGCTAATAGGTATCATTTTGTGCTATGCATTGAACATCACATTCTCTTAAGTAAGATAGAGAGATGCCGCTATAGTTATTGCAGTAGGTAACTAAAAATAAAAACATTTCTATTTTGAAGACTTTTGATCTAATGGTTATACTCTGTGGTTGCAAAAAAATGTACACCTCATCGTTTTTCAGAAGCCTGTGCCATGAGCACTTATGTAAAATTATTTGAACAATGGCTAGGAGATCTCAGAGGATAAATACAAGTTTATAGTGATAGAGGAGTAGGAGGAGGGATAAATAAAGAACAGAAAATTAGAGAGATAGAATAGGAGGGAATAGTTTAGGGAGAAAACTTTGCTATTCCTCCTCCATCACATAGTCTATCTGAATGGGTATAAATATAATTGCCTTTGTCAATGTTAAAAGTTTAGGTTTGGAAAGCAATACACATGAAAATACCCCATTATCTTTCCTCTTACTAAATGTAGTACTGATCACTTTGTTTAAGCCATTCTATTATATGCTATACAGACTACAGTAGAAAAAATTGTTTATTTCTGAACATAATTTTTTATGAGTGGTTTTTTCCATTATTTAAAGTGAGAAATTTACATACCCTGTTTCAACGGGGAACAGTGAGAAAAGGAAAGGGAATATAGAATGTGATGCTTCAATAATTGGGATTAAATTGATTAAGAAATTTTATAAATTATCCTATTCTTTTGAAAATCCAAAATGCAGGAAGTTCATTTTTGGTTCTTAACATTGTATCATGCCAAACCAACTTGACTTTGCTATTGTTTTTTGCAGCAAAATACTGGGGTTTCAGATGAAGATTTTGTCTCTTATGTAAGCAAATGGTGCGAGGCTGGGGCTTCCCTTGTGGGTGGTTGCTGTCGAACAACTCCAAATACTATCAGAGCCATATACAGGACCCTTGCCAATATAACTGCTGACGTGCCCTTGCAGCAGCCACAGTGCTTGTGAATAGAGTAAAGATAAATCATACCGAGAGCCAGAAGGAGTTTTAATAACTTGACCTTTTATAGTTTTTTTCGTTCGTGTGATGGCTGAAGGTGAACCTGACTTGAGACCTTGTGCTCAAATCTGGGTTGAATTTCTGCTGTTGAGGATGAGGTTTGGGCAATGCACTTGTATCATCTCTTACAGAAGAACATTTGCCGATAATCGCTTATGTACAGTAGCAGAGATCCCATAAACGTCAAAGTGTCTTTAAGTTGATGCTTGGTCCAAATTCCGAATGAAGTTGCCTTTTTGTTGTTATTTCTTTGACTAGTTAATAGAACTGTTTTATTTCACACCATTTTGACAAAGTCCGTTTCGTCCTGATCTAAATTAATTTAAATGGTCATTAAAAACTATATTTAATTGAAGTAGCCACACCGTCAGAGTCTTGTTCATCGAACCTAAAAGATACTGGTGACTGGAAAATCACAACCAAATAAAATCCCAGCGAATAAAGGTCACTGGTTCGAATCGCTATTTCTGAACCTGGATTTGCTCTCGAGACTGCTCCTTGTTTTGCAGAGGCTGAGTCTATAAGATGCCCATATAAACATTGGTTACCGTAAACATTGATTCTGCACTCAAGTTTATAACAAGCAGTTGATCAAACTGGCCGGAAGACCCTTCTGATTTACAGAATTAAAGTTAAAATTTGAAGATCAAATTGTGGTCAATTGTTCGCAACCCTAGCTGCTTCTGTATCATATAGATCAAAATATCCAACAAGAAAAACAAAACTGTCTGAGTTTTGTAGATGGTAGCTGCAGTATCATATATATCAATGAACGCTAAGAAAAACAAAACTGTCTTGAGTTTTGCTGATGCCGTAAGTTTCTAAAGATAAATCCATAAGGCCAGCCATTCTTTTATGAATAGATCCTAGATCAGCAAAGATCACAACTTAAACCGCCTTAAAATTCACAACAGAAACAATACGATGTTAAGGGGTCAGTTTATAGTTTCTAGTTTCATGGTCACTCATTTAACATCTGTGCAATGCAACACATTTGTAGTGAAAGTCATAATCCTCAGAACTGTGAATTACAGGTTACAGCACAATTTTTTACAGCAATAAAGGTTCTTCATGATAAGGCTATTGCACGCATTATATTCTACGGAAATATGTTTGTAAGCATTGGATCATGTGTCAAACCCAGAATAAATACCACTTTCTCTTAACAACCTCTTCTCTTCTTCCACATAACTCTTCCCCCTACTAGCCTGACCAAGCTCTCTTTTCCTCTTCTCCTTCTGGGAAAAAGAAAGATTCTTCTTCTCCTCTTTCTGAGTTTGTACATTTGTCAGCTGCGCTTCATCCAGCACTCCAGCTCTTGTTTTATGTTGTTCTTCAGAGGATTCCTCATATTTCTTAACTTCACAATGTTCTCTGCCAGTAGACCAAGACCAATCTTGTTTCTCATCTTCTTTTGGTGGGGGCACTTTTAGAACTGATAGTCCACCTCTGTATCCAAATCGCTTCAATGCTTCAAAGTCAACACCACTCTTTTTCCTTCCAGAATTAACTGTCAACATGCAGCTGAAAATACGTAAACATACAAAAAGTGCTTGTGAAGGAGCAAGGTAACAAGAAAGATAGCAAAAGATCCACAATTACACCAATCCTGCTCTGTGAGCCTTCTTCATCCAACATCAAGTTACATATAAATGGGAATTATATGATATATACACCATTAACAAGTCAAACAAAGAAAACACAGACATTACCATACAATCATTCAAGAGTGCACACTTTATCTTTTGTATAAATAGATTCCAACAGTTTTTCTCCTCACGAATTCAAGATTCTAAAATTCCAACTCTTGAAGACAGTCAAAGACCGTATAAATTATTAATCTCCAGGTATTAAAGTATTTACCAACTAATTTTAACATAGTTATAGATGCTACTTCCCAATCTATCTCCCATCAAAACTTTATTCACATACAATATCTGTCCATTGACGCAGCTAGTTAGACGATAATTTTCCACTGACAATGAAAAATCATCCATAACTAAACAGAGAAAACCATTTAAATATTCTTGTATTTAAGGTCAAGCACAAACAACCGTAAAAAGAGTCCATCGTAACACAAAGAATTAATCCAATAAAACAAATGATCAAATCACCAACTTTCAACAAGAGTCTGATAATAAATTCAAAAGTCTTTATAAACTAACAAACGCTTCAATTTACATAATAAGAATACTTTGAGGACATAAATCGTTCAATTTACTTCAGAATGCTTCTCATTAGCTATGAACAACCCTCATGCAATGCAGCCAATTACATATACGTTGTTGAATCCTAAGNACTGGCCGGAAGACCCTTCTGATTTACAGAATTAAAGTTAAAAATTGAAGATCAAATTGCGGTCAATTGTTCGCAACCCTAGCTGCTTCTGTATCATATAGATCAAAATATCCAACAAGAAAAACAAAACTGTCTGAGTTTTGTAGATGGTAGCTGCAGTATCATATATATCAATGAACGCTAAGAAAAACAAAACTGTCTTGAGTTTTGCTGATGCCGTAAGTTTCTAAAGATAAATCCATAAGGCCAGCCATTCTTTTATGAATAGATCCTAGATCAGCAAAGATCACAACTTAAACCGCCTTAAAATTCACAACAGAAACAATTCGATGTTAAGGGGTCAGTTTATAGTTTCTAGTTTCATGGTCACTCATTTAACATCTGTGCAATGCAACACATTTGTAGTGAAAGTCATAATACTCAGAACTGTGAATTACAGGTTACAGCACAATTTTTTACAGCAATAAAGGTTCTTCATGATAAGGCTATTGCACGCATTATATTCTACGGAAATATGTTTGTAAGCATTGGATCATGTGTCAAACCCAGAATAAATACCACTTTCTCTTAACAACCTCTTCTCTTCTTCCACATAACTCTTCCCCCTACTAGCCTGACCAAGCTCTCTTTTCCTCTTCTCCTTCTGGGAAAAAGAAAGATTCTTCTTCTCCTCTTTCTGAGTTTGTACATTTGTCAGCTGCGCTTCATCCAGCACTCCAGCTCTTGTTTTATGTTGTTCTTCAGAGGATTCCTCATATTTCTTAACTTCACAATGTTCTCTGCCAGTAGACCAAGACCAATCTTGTTTCTCATCTTCTTTTGGTGGGGGCACTTTTAGAACTGATAGTCCACCTCTGTATCCAAATCGCTTCAATGCTTCAAAGTCAACACCACTCTTTTTCCTTCCAGAATTAACTGTCAACATGCAGCTGAAAATACGTAAACATACAAAAAGTGCTTGTGAAGGAGCAAGGTAACAAGAAAGATAGCAAAAGATCCACAATTACACCAATCCTGCTCTGTGAGCCTTCTTCATCCAACATCAAGTTACATATAAATGGGAATTATATGATATATACACCATTAACAAGTCAAACAAAGAAAACACAGACATTACCATACAATCATTCAAGAGTGCACACTTTATCTTTTGTATAAATAGATTCCAACAGTTTTTCTCCTCACGAATTCAAGATTCTAAAATTCCAACTCTTGAAGACAGTCAAAGACCGTATAAATTATTAATCTCCAGGTATTAAAGTATTTACCAACTAATTTTAACATAGTTATAGATGCTACTTCCCAATCTATCTCCCATCAAAACTTTATTCACATACAATATCTGTCCATTGACGCAGCTAGTTAGACGATAATTTTCCACTGACAATGAAAAATCATCCATAACTAAACAGATAGAACCATTTAAATATTCTTGTATTTAAGGTCAAGCACAAACAACCGTAAAAAGAGTCCGTCGTAACACAAAGGATTAATCCAATAAAACAAATGATCAAATCACCAACTTTCAACAAGAGTCTGATAATAAATTCAAAAGTCTTTATAAGCTAACAAACACTTCAATTTACATAATAAGAATACTTTGAGGACATAAATCGTTCAATTTACTTCAGAATGCTTCTCATTAGCTATGAACAACCCTCATGCAATGCAGCCAATTACATATACGTTGTTGAATCCTCAGGACTGATTAGATGAATTTATAATTAAATCCCAATCAAATGTCAAAGAAGTATTACTTTACAGCAAAAAAAAAAAAAAAAAAAAGAAATAAAAACAAAACCTTGAGAAGTTTTTTTCTTTCGCTTGCCAACACTGTCGTCAGATTCAGCATCTGAGTCTGACGATGATGAAGAATCATCATCCTTATCGCTCCACGCTCTCTTCATCTTATACTGCAAATTAAACAGCAGATTTAGATTCTAGACTCCAATTTGACCCCAAGGAGGGTTAGCCGGTTAGGGTTTGCAATGCAGAGCCAGAAGAACTGAACAAAAAACGATACCCATTTAATTATATTTTATTTAAACTTTTAACTTACACTAAACGGCAACGTTTCATTCATAATTTTAGGACAAATACGACATCGTTTAGCTCAATCACAAACTAAAAATAACGGACAAAATTGAAGTGAAAAAAGAAAGGGTTTTTGACTCCAAAATTTCGTCCAGTGTGTGCTCCTCTTAGTCTCTGAGTTCGTGCAAATCAGTAGCGGCCAGTGGAGGCCCTCTCTTACTTTCCTCCGTTTCTAGCCAAACACAGGTTAACATATCTCTTCTTGTCAATGACTGCTCTTGTTTACTTTAGTTTTTTTTTTTTTTTTGAAATTGCCCTCGACCGAAATATGATATTGATAATTTTTGTCCACTTTTTTTTCGTCTGTAATAAGCGGGAAAATAAAAATGCAACTGAAGTTAGAGTTGAGTTTTGTTGTGATGGTTTGTGTAATAAATTAGTGTTTGCATGTTCATTTCTCCGTTTTGATGAGGGTTTTTGAAAAGTAGTTTTATCTCAAATGGTTTTTGAGGTTACTCTGTCCCAATCCAGTCCCTGTAGACTTGGCAAGACGACCAGTTGGGTTGGTTATCCGCGGGGTTTGACCCGAACACAACCCGACTCACCTGAGCGGGTAAACGAAAAGAATACATGAACTTAAGACTCTACACGTTAAACGCAAAACAGCATACCGTTATAGAAACTAAAGAGGAAACGCTCAAAGTTCAAGTTTGCATTTTTAGTTTTCATTAAAATATCTATCTACTGTCATCTCCACGGTTGGCTTTCCAACTCTCTTGCACGGAATTATTGAAGTTTTGGCTGTGAAATTATAGAAGCACAGAGGATTTGTGCTTTAAATCTTTGTTTGAAACAGATTTAATCATTATTGGGTTGTTGGATTTTGAGGGTGCCCAAATTTTTTGTGTAAGTTGTTTGTTTTGTTCAACGTATTTGTGAAAATGCTTGAGACTTTTTTCTTTTATTTGTTCTTCATTTGGTAATTTTAACGTGAATATGCTGTTTAAATGGGTTGTGGTTCTATCTCTTGTTATTGGATTAGTTTGTGACTTGTATGTTGTTTGACTTATAATTGTATATGCTGTTTTATGGATGTGCATTATCATTGCATTGGCGGTTGCATTGTCTTAGTGATATGAAACTATGATGGATTAGGATTGGTTGTTAGTGGGTTTGATGAGAACTACAAACCATTTGATGTTACAGTGAGGATTAATGGTTGTGAAGAACTGTTCCAGAATAACTGTTAGTGCAACGACTGGATTGAGCTTTAGCTTGTGTGGTAAAGTTTGGGGGCGGGGTAGATCTCAGACTTATCGGTAACCTCAGTTGTATGAATTAGGTAATAATTATCCATAAAAGGTTATCTTTACTTTTGATTGGGCTAGTGTGATCTGGTATATCGTTGTCAAATTAAAGACAATTAGAGTTTCCAACACAAAATTGGGATCAAGCAATGGTAATAACTGTAACATATCAGTGTTAGAACTTGTAAAAGAAACCTCAGAAATATTAGCGAAATTGTTGTTTTAATTATAGGTGTAAAAGAATCATGTGACATGAACATCAATTTCTTAGCTGAAGGATATCAATCTAAGAAGACAAATCTCATGAAACTACATGTAGCACATTATTTTGGGTGGTAGATGAAATTATAGAAGACAAATTTTAATTATTTACAATAAATTGGGTTTAAAATCCAAATATGGAATTTGTAAAATAGGTTGAGCTTAAAATATAAAAATTGGGCTATCCAAGTTTTGAACTAAACCAACTCAATTCTCTCTTTACTTTTGTTCAGTGAAACACAAGGTAAGAGATTTTTTTTTTTGTTTTTGCCTCTCTCAAGAATCATTCATTATTGTCGATGCTCCAAGTAGTTTGACAAATTTTTTTGTGATATTAGAGCTGAAATTGACTGTATAGTCATCCTATACGTCTTGTTTTTTCTATAGTTATCTGCTTTGGCTCTTCAAATCTCGGTGTACTTCACAAATCCAATCCTTCTTTCCACCCTTTTTTTTCTCGTTTTCTGGTTTGTAACTATGATATGAAATTGGATAGTATTGACTGTGGGTAGTGTTTTAATCTCTCCTTGTTCTCTCTGTATTTGCTTCTGATAGTTGGAACTCAGAAATGTCATTCAAACTGGTCCTTGTTGAATTAACTTGACTTGACATTTGGCATACATTTATATATTATACTGTATAATTTCCATCAGGTGCTTCCATTTGAACGTAGTACTTTGACAACAGTTAAGTGTTAGCAAGATTTCCACTATGGAAGTTACGGCTAATAATGAAGATAGTTCCCTCATTCTGATTAAGCAAGGAGCTGAAGCTGTAAGTCACAATACTAATTGCCATCTAATAGCCTGGTTTGGGATCTGCAAAGGAATTGGACTTAAGCTCTGCCATGCTTTATGAGGCTTACATTGTATACAAGTGGAATAGCTGGCAGCTGGCCTGATTCTTTGCAGTTTTCCATGCAGCTAAAATAAATGTCATTTTGAGCTGCAGAATTCTTTTTTTGCCCTTGTTGATATGTGTATTCTCATTCAGAGAGTTTTTGAATCAACATTTGTGGGAAGGAGGTCTATTGTGAAGGAACGCTTCTCAAAGAAATACAGGCACCCCTCTTTGGATTCAAAACTTACTCTCAAGCGCCTCAATGCTGTGAGCTCCTTAGATGGGCTGTTCTACTATTATTAATTTCTATATTGTAATGATTGGATATATTGCTGTTTGTCTAACTTCTTTCATAATATACATTCTGGAGCAGGAGTCTAGGTGCATGACAAAAGCAAGACGACTTGGGGTTTCAACTCCAGTGCTGTATGCTGTGGACCCTGTGCAGCATACCCTGACATTTGAGTATGTGGAAGGCCCTTCCGTTAAAGATTTATTCCTTGAATTTGGGTTGCACGGTATTGTGGAAGAGCGGTTGGATGATATTGCAGTGCAGATTGGTGTTGCAATTGCTAAATTACATGATGGTGGTCTCATTCATGGCGACTTGACCACATCAAACATGTTAATTAGGAACGGTACAAACCAGCTGGTCAGTTTCCTCTGATTCTTTTATATTCTCCGTCCTTTCGCTAATATTATGAACTGCTTTTCAACCACAAATATCTTTGGTCAGGTCCTGATTGACTTTGGTCTGAGCTTCACATCAACCCTTCCGGAAGACAAAGCTGTTGATTTATATGTACTTGAGAGAGCCTTGGTTTCAATGCATTCTTCATGTGGCAATGTGGTAAGCCTGTTGGATCAGTTTAGTTCAATCAAGTGTAAATTCATATCTGTATGTCTGTTTTGTCCCAGAAGACATTAGGTTAAGAACTTTGTAAAAATTTTAGAACGGAAAAGGAATAATTGTATTTTATATTTCATATTCTTATTGATTTTGGACCTAAAGATATGGAAGTTAGTTAATGAAGATTCTGAAAACGGGTTGATAATTATGAACTTATTATAACAGTACTGTAAAATTCATTACATGTTTGGTTTTTTAAGATGAGAAATAATTTTTTATCGGAACAAAACAGAATAATGCAAAGTAGAAATTGGTCTCATCACTTGTTTATGTACATGTAGATGGATCGAATAATTGCCGCCTATAGGAAGTCCTCAAAGCAGTGGTCATCCACAATGAACAAGCTCGCCCAAGGTGCAATTCTTTTCTGCAGCTGGTTTTTTCCCACGTTTGATTAGGAGTTGTGTTTTGTTATATTTATCTCATTTATTGTTTTCTAATTGCATCACGATTTCTCACAGTGCGTCAAAGGGGTCGAAAACGCACCATGGTTGGATGAGCCTTCTTCATTCTTCAATCATGTACTATGGTAAGATGAAGAGATGCCCATAGTGACCAATTAGTGTTATGTTGCGGTAATTTATTACCACTTTTTAGTTATCAAGTTATGTATGTTTTGAACCTTTGGTCCGCTGATTATGATTTAATGTATTAATATCAGTGTTATGTTCAGCCTTGGTTGGACATAACTGCATATATGTGATACAAGAACAGCCTTGTAATTAAAATTTATGAAATTTACTGAATGACTCTGAAATCTTTTCNTGTTTTCTAATTGCATCACGATTTCTCACAGTGCGTCAAAGGGGTCGAAAACGCACCATGGTTGGATGAGCCTTCTTCATTCTTCAATCATGTACTATGGTAAGATGAAGAGATGCCCATAGTGACCAATTAGTGTTATGTTGCGGTAATTTATTACCACTTTTTAGTTATCAAGTTATGTATGTTTTGAACCTTTGGTCCGCTGATTATGATTTTATGTATTAATATCAGTGTTTTGTTCAGCCTTGGTTGGACATAACTGCATAAATGTGATACAAGAACAGCCTTGTAATTAAAATTTATGAAATTTACTGAATGACTCTGAAATCTTTTCGTTGGAAAGGACTGACCGTTGATTCATGGAACCTAGAATTGGTTGTACTGTAACAATCAAATACATGGTCCTTGTTTTCATGTTCCATCTATTTGTATCACTCTTCTTCAACTTAGCCATTCCTCCAGTCCTGTGCACCCACATGATGGCACGTGAGGAAACATGCCTTATTGATAACACCACTGGTCCATTGAAGGTGGCAAGGCGCAATAATAAGACAGGTTAGGAAAATTATCCTTTCATAATAAGGTTAAATCTAATATTAAAAAGACATTTTATATATATATATGTATATATATATATTTTTTTTTTTCTGAGATAAAAAACATAAATCTTAAGATAAGAGGTTTATATTTACAAATTTATTCCATTTCAGATACTGAAAAAAAAAAAAAAATCTAAATAAACCCCACATATTTTCTAAGTAGCCCCCAATTTTCCCGCCATATTATCCAATCTTGTTCGTTTCAAAACTTTCTTCCTTAATTTACTCAAAACGATAACCAGTCTCTTCTCCAATGGAACATTCACCACCAAAATCGCTCCAAAACACGCACGTAAAGCTGCTGGCTTTCGATCTCCTCTCTCTCACTCCCACGCCGGACCCAACCACCTTCTCTCGTTTGGGAAAACTCCTCCTCTCACGTGTCGAAATCCTCGGCACAATCACCTCACGTGACTACAAACCTAACAAATTCCTTAAATTCACCATCGATGACGGCACCGGATCCGTCCCCTGCCTCCTCTGGCTCAACCATCTCAACTCTCCGTATTTCTCGCGCCGGGACCCACCAACTGTTCGATTAATTGCCAACCTGGCCGCTGGCTTTGCCGCGCAGATTAAAATTGGTGTCGTCTGTAGATTGCGAGGGAAGATTGGTAGCTATAGAGGTGAGGTGCAGGTTACAGTTTCTGATATTGTGATTGAGAAAGACCCCAACGTGGAGGTCCTTCATTGGTTGGATTGCGTGAGGTTGGCGCGAAAATGTTATGATGTTGTGAGTAATTTAAATTAAATTAATAATTTTTTAGTTTTTTGTTGTTCAATCGAGCATTGTTAATGCTTTAAACGAACAGATTAGAAAATTAAAATGCTAATTTTTAATTAAAATATGGAAATCATCTCTAAGCTGTGCAGAAGAATCAATTTTTAGAGTTAATTTTAGAATGATATGGAGGCTTGTTCTTTAACTTTCATTTGTTGTGTGCAATTTAGAGATTTACACAATGTCTAATTGTTTGTTCCTTAATGATTTTTCTGTTACTTTCTAAAAAATTGATAGTAGAAGTTAAGGGAGCCAGTTGTGTGAATTGGGCAGAAACTTAACATGTTAGGTACCATTTCTGCTCTAAAATTCTGGGTTAATGGATTATTGTAGCTATTAGTTTGCAAGTCTTTGCTCTATATTAAGTTTTGAAGAAATGCAAAGCTGAAACAAGTCGTTACAAATTAATAGTTGGTGATGATTGCAATAAGTTGAGTTTGGCAGAGTTGGGAATTTGAGAATTGTATTCTTTGTTGCTGAGCTCATACTCATAATGATGGTCAAGTCGGCAATCATGTTGCGAAGGTATAACTGGTCCTCCTTCATTGCTGATTTAAATTTCTCTATGCATTAATGGTGTTAGGAATTGTAGATACTTTGATGTTGAATGCAAAATTATAGCAACCACTTATTTGTTTTTAGCTCAAGGTCTTCTTTTTGATGCACATTGTAACCCATTATTAAGAGTGTGGTGAGTAGAGAGATGTTTATTTTGATACGGAGATATTAAGTATTCTGAGCATGGGGTAACCAACCTTTTATTAAGTATATGTAAACTAGATGCCCTTTCACTGTCATTGAATCAGTTCACAGTGAAAGCTATATCCCACCAAGTTTTCTTTAATAGCTGATTACAGTAGCTTTTGTTCTTTCTTATGATCTTATCCAACATCAAGATAGATTTATTTTAATTCCCAAATCATTTCTTAAAGCTAAAAGATTAGTATTAGGAGAGTTGAAGAGAGTTTGCAAATTCTTCGCGAACTTGCATCATTTTTGCTTTAGAAAGACAAGCAAGGTCTGTAAGACATTGCAATTGAAATGAATGCTTGAAGAATGAAGAACATATGTTTCACTGCAACACCTTAGATCAAATTTAACATGGGATGATTAAATGTCAAAACCGTGTCCAAGGGTCCCGAAAAATGACCTGGTATCCAATATATTGTGAAGAGATGTAGTTTTTTATGCATTATGATTTTATAATGTCATATCAACATCTGGGTTTTGCCATGGTCCTTGCAGTAAATATTTTGTCTGTAATTCCTGTTTATTAAATCTTGTTTCTAGAAATGGTCTCTCATGGTTTAAAGTACTTGATCTTCTTCTTAATACAAAACTAATTAAGGCTGCATTTGATTAAGAACTATCAATTTTTTGTGTATGTTTCATTTATTGCATTAAATTATAACATGAACATTCAATTTATTGCCTTGAGTAGGTACAACCAGCTCAACAACTAAGTACTTGTTCAAATTATTGCTTATCCTATAGAGGAAGACATGTTTGACAGTACTTCAATTACAAATTTAATTTCAAATTGAAAAAGAGCAAGCCAGTTGTAAAATAAGTAAATAAATAGACTGAGATTTTGCCCATATGAATATATGATTTGATGGGCACCATAAAGGGAGAAGATTGAAGGCAACAAAGTGAGTGACAAGATCGTTGTGCAGGTCAATGAAAGCAAGCAATTGAATAATTTGAAGCCATAACTGAAGTTAAAAACCATTGATTTCAATTTCAGATTTCAATTTCTACCCAAAGTGAAAACCTTCACATCAAAATGATCAAAGTCTTATCATCTATTTCCTTTCTCATCCTGCTTTTTTCCCTCGTGGGTTTTTGTGTACCAAAATCATATATTATTATTTTTCTAACTTCATTTGGAAATGGGTCCATGACATTATTGTCACTTATTTTTTTAATTAATTAACTTAAAATCTCAATCGTACTCTCCATATGGAGACTTATAAGTAAATTAAAGGGTCTATAATTGAAGAAAGACATTTGTATTCATCGGACGGCTTTGAAATGGTCAACTTACTTACTCGGGGTGTGTTATTGACTTATTTCCCTTCAAGTTTGGCTCATACATGACAGCTTTGTATTGTATACGTATAAAAATTGTGAAAAAAATGAAAGAGAAAGAAGTTGAAGTCTACATCATCAAGTACGCAAGAAACAGAGTTTTTGCCTTGGAAAATAAAATTACTCCTCTTTTTGGTAATAAAGAGTTAAAGAAAACGACAAAAGAAGAAGAAAAAAAAAACCCCATTAAAATTTATTAGAAAAACAAAAAAAGTCCAAAACGACAGCGTAAAACGTTTTAAGAGAAGAGAAAGAAGAGGTCAGCTTGGTTAGAAGGCTGAAAAAGTAAAAAAGAAAATTAAAATGGTCTATCTGAGAGAAGATACTTTGCCGAAACCCAAAGTACAAATTAAAGATGATCCTTTGACTGCCTCCTTGCTCTTATCTCAAAATTTAATTTTGAACACAACCCGTTGTTTTATTTTTTATTTTTTAATTAATTGTTCTGAGAAATTTTTATATTTATTTGTAATTTTCTGGAATTTTTGAGGAATCACAAGGAAGCATGCACGTGAATGGATGGATGCTGTATAATTAGGGTTAGGGTTATGATTTTTGAGATCCATTTTTGAGTAAATTATTTGTATAATTTTGACGGCTGATTTATTGTACTTTAGTAGACACGTGGCAGTTTGATAGAGGAGGATGTAAGAAAGATTGGAGAATCATAACTATATTCTTGAATGAATCTAAACTTGCTCCTGCCCCCAATTGGACCCATACCCATTGCTGAAACTTTATTATTCATGATTTTGCTGCCCATGTCAAATTTCTTCAAGATTTTGTGATATCTCTTACAAATCACATCCTTTATTTTTGCTCTTTTTTATGTTATATTCAACATCTGTTTGTTTCCAATACCGGCCAAAGTCTCAAGGATTATTTTTTAGACATACTACATAGGAGCATGGTTATTAGTATCCTATAATACAATTTGATATTGGTCGCCAACGATACATATCAGAGAATGTATCATAAACTTTTTAATACGTTGATATGTATCCTACGATATGATACGTATCCTTAAAAATATCGATATGACTTTATTAATTTGGACCTTTAATTTTCGGGGTGGGTTGAAATAGATCGGGTTGAATTCGGGTCATCCAACCCAGTTCATTAAAACCCACCCGAATTTACCTATTTTGCATGGAGAAAGTGAAGAGGAAAATGCGTTGTCTATTTTGCATGATAATAATAACATAAGTGGAGATATAGATATTGACATTAATCTTGTAAATGATATAAATTCTTAATTTTGTAAATAAATTTGATTATGTAAAACTATAATTTAAAGCCAATAATATCACAAAATTTGTTAATTAATCTTGGGAATTATATTAATTTTTAGAAATTTTTTAAAAAAAAAAAATGTATCTTACGATACGATACGTGATACACGATTCGAAAAATCAGGTTTTCGATATACAGTACGATACGTGATTTGATAACTATGCATAAGAGAAACAAACAAATCCACTTTGTATGAGAGTTAAGCAAACATCCCAAACCACATCTCTTTAAAAAAAATGTATCTTACGATACGATACGTGATACACAATTCAAAAAATCAGGTTTTCGATATCGATACGTGATTTGATAACTATGCATAGGAGAAACAAACAAATCCACTTCGTATGAGAGTTAAGCAAACATCCCAAACCACATCCACCAAACCACTACCTTTGCTTAAATTAATTAATTGCGATATTATTGTCACCCTTGAGGTTTAGTCAAAAGTCGTCAAACTCATCCATACTTTAGAAACTAACATTGACACCCTAAATGTTACCATCCATTAATATTCATTTAACTCTAACCATCTCTAACCTTCATATATTTTATCGTTTTTAATTGTAAATGACTTACATTGGTATTGAATTACTAACATTATGTTGGCTTTATGGCGACTTGTTTATATAACGTCGATGCTTAATCGTTCAACTTATTGATGTGCTTATATGTGTATTGAGAAACTCTTTTTATTTATCAACTATTAACGGTGGAGCTCTGTATTGCCATTTGATAGAATATCGAAATAAGTTACACCGTGTGATAAATGTTTGATCCTTACTCATTACATGACACTGATGACAGGGATGATAATGTTAGTTATCGAGAACTTGGGGTTTACTAGTCTTTCCCTAAGCCTTAGGGGGGGTGTGAAAAATATTAGTTTAAAGACTCTTTTCTTCTGATGGCAAATGGGGGAGGAGGTGGCAGCCACGTTATTGATAGAAATTAAAAACAAAGCTTTTGGCTTGACCACCACAGGTTAATTTGATAGCCTACAAATGGGACCAACGGAGGCTATAATTTTAGCAGAACCTTCACCATTTAACAATCACCAATAGCTTCAATATTTTTTAATTTTTATTTTCATGGCGTTTGTGAGGAGGATTTCCATTTGGAATAACAAGAAGAAGAAGAAGAAGACTTTAGGGTTCCTTTGGAGTGTTTGGCTGTCAAATTACTACTTAATTTAATCTTTTGATTAATTAAATAATTAAAAACTATTTGATTGCCTAGTTTAGAGAAGCAAACACAGTCTCCCACATGCGGCATGTGTATTGATATTAATAATATTCAATTCCAAAATCATGCTTTGATAAAAACTTAAACCAAGAAAATAATTTACTTTTGTTTTTAACTAAAGATTAGTTTAATCTTTACTAGCGTATTAGATCCTTACTCGAAACCCCAGGAGGTGGCGTGGCGTGGGCGGTTGCTCAAACTGGGGACCTTCAATGGCTTAACAAGATCCTACATTTATGTTAAATTTTGGGTTTTTTCCTTGTTGCTTGAAGATACAAGTCTAGATTGAGTCAAAAGGGCCTCAAAATTGGATTGAAGACTGGCCATTTTGACTGCTAAAAAGCAGCAAAAATGAATGTTTTGAGGAGATTCATTGCTTGTATTTTGTTGAAGTTTAAAACTTGTTGATTAATTAAACAAATTTCCCAAACTCCAACAAGGAGAAGAAGAGAAGAATCAAATCACACTCTCTTCAACCCTATAAACCTATTGTTTCAAACCCCAAAAACCCACTTTGAAGGAACAGTCTTAACACACACACACACACACAAATGAAAAGAATTGTTCTTTTAGCACATTACCCTACAGAGATGCAAACATACCCACATTCTCTACAAGATCAATGAGAACAATCTGTTAAAAATGGAAAACAATGTTTGATTTTCATTTATTTTTTTATACTTTTTATTTTCCAATGAAGATATTTAAAAAAAAAAAGGATACAATACAAAAAGCTTTTTATATATTTGTTTCTTACTTCTTTACCTGTTGCTTTCACTGATTGAAGACCAAATGGACTAATGTAGTACTGCTAGGCATAAGACTTTGCTGACCATGTACAGAGACCTCAGCTTCAGGCAGAGAAAGAAGCAAACAACTTTAGAGAAGCCAAAGTGGAATATAAAATATAAATATTATAAATAAATAAAAATAGATGATTATAATTTATAGAGATAGAGAAAGAGAGAGAATGGATCCAGAGTTGGGTGTGGGTGGGTGAGAAGTAGTAGTATTAAGTAAACGAAAGTTTTCATTTTTATTGTCCATTCAATATGTTTAGGCTCAACTCAAAGCTTTGTATTTGTATTGGGTTCCTTTTCCTTTGGCGTTTGGCCTTGAACTTGGGGTAAAAACTAAAAAGCCTCGAGAGGTCTTATTAGTTTGCTACTCTCCTTCACTTTATTCTCTTCAAATTCGATACTTTCCTGTGTAGTGTACCCAGAACGAGGTTTTATTTTTTTTTTATTTTTTTATTTTTGTTAAAGATTTATACATACATCTGTAACATCTCTCTCTCTCTTTTTCTTTCTCTCTTTCTCTCTTTAATGTGTATTTGTGTGTCCTACATTGTCTTGTTTTACTCTCAGAATCTCATAGTCTTACTTCCACGCATCTCTTGTTCTCTCTCTTTCTACATTTCCGTTTCAATTCCCTTATTTCTTCTCTTTTCTCTGCACTGACCCAACAAACTCTTAAGTGAAACACAAAACGAAGACAATCCCAACTGGGTATTTTCTCTTTTCTATTCCATCTTTGAAAATTTAAAATTCATGAAAATGTCAAGAAACTGGAATTTTCTTTCTTCCCATAATCGCTTCCTTTTTATTACATAAGCAAACAAAAAGTACTCATTTTTGTGCTCTCATTATCTCTTGTGAAATTCATGAGAGCTTAGAACTGGTGTTGCTTCTGTTCCTTGGCTTTTTATAGAGAAAAAAAGAAAAGAAACCCAGAAGTTGGAGCTCAAAAATCTTTTGAAAATAAAAACTTCCAAGTTGTTTTTGATAATTGTGTTTGATTTGTATTTTATTTCAGTTCTCTTCATTGGTTTTTCCGAAAAACCAACCAACCAGACTTAGTTGAAGAAATTAAGACTAGGATTATTATTTTATATTTCTCTAAATCAGGATAACTATATGAATTTGTGAAACAATGAGAGATGGAAGCTCCAAGAAAAGCAAGGTTTGTGCAATCAAATGCCACAACTTGTGTGATTTCTGTTTGCACTTTGTGTTCTAAGATTGCTGAGTGAGTGTATTCTTCTTTATCTTGAAGCTTTCATGGCCCAAAACACTGGTCAAGAAGTGGTTTAATATCAAGAGCAAAGCTGAGGACTTTCAAGCAGATGATGTTGACTATGAGGGTGATTAACTTTTGTCTTCTTTTTTCAATTTGCATAGTTTAGATGCAAATTTGAGTTCTGGGATTTGAAAATTTTCAGCTTTCATATTTTGAACACAATTTGGATTTCTCTGAAACTTGTTAACTTATAGTTTTAGATTCTTCTAGACACTGGACACTTGCATTATGCTTCTTCTGCATCAATGTTTGTTTTGTACTAAAAATGTTTTGGATTTTAATGAGAGAAGGGGATTCTTCTACTAGCATGTGCAGCTGAAGATCTGTTCTTTGTTTTCTTCCTCAATCTGAAATTCAATTAATTGTTTTTATCAAAAAATGTCTGTTTTTGACGGTATTTGAATATGTGAGATTGATGTTTAGAGCTCAGCTTTAACCACTTTATGGTCTCTCTTTTTCAGGTGGTGATGAAGATTGGAGGCACAACTTCCCTGAGAGAGAAGCATGCACTATTAAGAAAAGCAGAACAGGTTCAGTATCAGACATCATCCCACTATTGCTTTGGACCACAATAAACATAAATTTTAGATTAAAAAAATGCTAACGTTCCTTTTGTCCGAAAAATTTCTAGTTTTTGGCCCCAGTATATTAAAAAAGCTTATCTAATTTTCACTTTGATGCACAGAGAGATCCAGCCGGAGGAACTCTGATCGAGTACGGCGAGGAAAGATTGACATTGATGCCTCACAGCTGACAGATGTGCATAACTATAGGTATGTTGTAAATCTTATTCTCTTGTAGTGGTTGATCTCGTTGAGACAGTTGTGTTTACTTTTTTTTCTTTTCTTTTCATCTGGGCACAGGATCTTTGTAGCTACGTGGAATGTAGCTGGAAAATCCCCTCCAAGCTATTTGAGTCTTGAAGATTGGCTTCATACCTCACCTCCTGCTGACATTTATGTTCTTGGGTATGCAGAAAATTTGATTTTGTTATCTTTTCTCACATATTTAAACTATGAATGTTTCAATATAGAAGGGAAGGCCTCATTGATCCCTTTGGTATTCAGGTTTCAAGAAATTGTTCCTTTAAATGCTGGTAATGTTTTGGGGACAGAAAATAATGGTCCGGCCAGAAAATGGTTAGCTCTTATCAGGAAGACACTTAATAGTCTTCCTGGTACTAGTGGTGGTTGCCATACCCCTTCACCCATCCCTGATCCAATTGTGGAATTAGATGCAGACTTTGAAGGCTCAACAAGGCAGAAAGCCTCGTCTTTCTTCCAACGGCGATCCTTTCAGTCCTTGAGCCGCAGCATGAGAATGGATAATGACATGTCAATGCCACAACCCCGACTTGACCGACGATTCAGTGTCTGTGATCGGGTTATCTTCGGACACAGGCCTAGTGATTATGATCCCAATTTCAGATGGGGTTCCTCTGATGATGAGATTGGTCCTGGGGATTCGCCACTCACCACACAGTACTCACCAATAACTTACAGTGGATCTCTTTCCATGGAGGATAGAGATAGACCTACTGGCCAATCAAGGTACTGTTTGGTTGCCAGTAAGCAAATGGTTGGAATATTTCTTACAGTGTGGGTGAAGAGTGATCTAAGAGACAATGTCCACAACATGAAAGTGTCATGTGTAGGCAGAGGGTTGATGGGTTATCTTGGAAACAAGGTAAATTTTTTGCTTGTGGACCTTTTATCAGATTTCAGTGAAATTTGTGATGAACTAGACAAAGAAAAAGGTGCCATTCTTATTCTATTGGGTTTTCCAGGGTTCAATTTCAATTAGCATGTCATTGCATCAAACAAGCTTTTGCTTCGTCTGTAGTCATTTAACCTCTGGGCAGAAGGAGGGAGATGAATTAAGAAGAAACTCTGATGTTATGGAGATCCTTAAAAAGACAAGGTTTCCCAGGGTTCATGGCATAGGTGACGAGAACTCCCCTCAAACAATTATAGAGCATGAGTAAGGCCCTTATTCAATTAAATTTTTATTAAGTTCTTTAATTTCCTTTCATTTGTTTGGTTATTTTAAATTGCAATAATTGGCAATTAAATTGTTCCAGCATCCCTTGCTTTCTTCGTATTTTTGTGTGTCAGCAATTGAAATGAAAGTCTTAGCCTTTTATTGCTCAAAATTCTAACGTGTAGTTATTTTTGTTAGTCAAATTATATGGCTTGGGGATTTGAATTATCGGATTGCCCTTTCTTATCGTTCTGCAAAGGCTCTCGTGGAGATGCGCAACTGGAGAGCTTTGTTAGAGAATGACCAGGCATGTTGCATATATTTTCAAAATAATTCTGATTTCTTCAATGCTTGCGTGCTCCTCTGTTTAATATGCCATTGGAAATGATGGCTTTCATTAACCTATCCTAAGAACTGCTCAATCTGAAGATTTGATGGTTTTTACTGACAGCTTAGAATAGAACAAAGGCGGGGGCGTGTCTTCAATGGATGGAATGAAGGAAAGATTTATTTCCCTCCAACATACAAGTATTCAAATAATTCAGATAGATATGCTGGGGATGATAGGCACCCAAAGGAGAAACGAAGAACTCCTGCATGGTAACCTTCATAAAAAAAATGTTATCTTAAACTCACATACCCCATATCCTCATCGTTATAGGACTAAATGAAAATACTGATAAAACAACTTTTTTATGCTTTGTATGTGTAGGTGTGATCGTATATTATGGTACGGAAGAGGCCTCAATCAATTGTCTTATGTTCGTGGGGAGTCAAGGTTCTCAGATCACAGACCAGTTTATAGTATCTTCTCAGCAGAGGTCGAGTCTATAAATCGTAGCCGAATCAAGAAAAGCATGAGTTGTTCCAGTGCTAGAATTGAAGTTGAAGAATTGTTGCCGCACTCACATGGATATACTGATCTCAATTTCTATTGAGGGATGAATTTCCGAATAATCAATGTTCTTTTGTATCCTATTGTGCTCGAGGCAACTCTGCGAAACTAAATGCATTTTCTCAGAAGGTAATTTAGCAGTACATGGAATTGACATGAATCACTTCCTTTTTATCACTAGCATATGAAATTTAATTTTTTCAGTCCTTAACAGGATTTCGTTCTTATCCATACAAAACCAAATGAAGAAATGCATTTTGTTGAAGAATCTGATGCTGATGTCATCTCAGCAAGTCAGGTAGTTTTTCTATATCTTAACCAATTTTGACATCATGAATGAAAATCTTATTTACGAGGGATAAGACTTATTAGTTACTTGTATCAAAATACTATTTTTCGGCCATTGAAAAATGTGGGCTAGATGAATTCACCTCCCAAGTAGATAGTCTGAAAATGTGTTTGCCTTGATTCCTATTAAAGTTTTCAGCTGAGAAAATCTCTTGCCTGGTCTTATTCTTATCTACTATTTGGCCCTCATTTTGCAGTGCTCCAAAAGGAACTGTCTTGATGGTGATAGAGACATTCAATTGCCCACAATCCAAAAAAAGGTCGGTCCTTAACTTCTCCTTTTCGCTTCGCCGGTAGTTTTTCTCAATCCATTTGTCTAATTTCTGTCCATTCCTTTTCCTCATCACAACAGTTACAGATTGTGTGTTATTTGCGTTAAATGCTTACTCCATTGTTTGCGGCACACGTTCTTTTTTCCACAATTCCTAATTGGCAATTCAACACAGCAGGCTCGGAACAAGTGTTCAGATCTTGGCAATAAGGTAAAAAGAGAAAGGATAAGTTATCAGTATTTTCCTCCAGTTTAATTTCTGCTCAAGTCTTTCAGTAATTGTAATGGTTAGAGCATTTATTAATGGTAGTTGATCATTATGATTTGAAATTAAAACTAGGCCACTAGGTGATTTATAAAAGTTGATGACATTTTTGTTGTCAATTCTTTGTGATTTTGCAGGAAATTCAACCAAGGACAGTCTCCTTTTTCATTCTGTAAACTAAAGATAGAATAACCGAAGAAATGTGTATAACAAAGTAAATATGTTTTGTACCATTCTAAGAGTTCAATGTATGATATGTAGTGTACTCATTGCTGGTAGAAAAAAAGAACAAATTCTGGTGCATTTGAAGCCTTTTTCTGTTACTGCTAATGATTTCACTGAGAAAAAGAAATAAAGTCATTGGCTTGGCTATCACCATTGTTATTATAATCATAATTACAAAAACACTCTGAAAGTTAAAAGAAGAAGAAGAAGAAGAAGAAGAGAAAATTAAACAGCCTTGCTCTGCACTTTCTTAGAGGAATGTCAGACAGTCAGCAGTTTACTCATTGTACATAAACATAGCCCTATTTTCTTTTGAAATTCAAGCCTGCCCTTTTGTAAAAGACAATGATTTTTTCTTGTTTAAAGACATGACAGTGTGAAGGAAGAAAGTCTAGCCTAGCCTTCACATTAGCTTGTATCAAATCACAACTCACACCTGCCATTTTTGTACTGTTTTTTTCTTTGGGGGGTATCCTGAAACATCTCAAAGTAGAGTGGGGGTGTTTTTTTAATTTTTTAATTTTCATCATTTTGGTAGTTTATTTTATTGTATAGTACTATAGTGAGTGACAGTTTTTAACTTGTTGACCAACAACACCTACCCATGAAAACTGTCAGAACTCAAAACCAAGACATTTATGAAAGTAATATGCAATTATTTTTTATTTCCCAAAATACCCTGCCATATTTTAATCCATTTCTTGTCACCCATTCATTAAATTTAAAATTTTCGTTTTCTAAATTTTAAAACTATCATATATAAATTTTAAAAAATTAGAATCTGTTTAGTTTTTTATTCGAAAATAAGTTTCCAAAACAAAAATACAATTCAAATATTTGAGTTGTATCTTTCTTATTTTTAATATTTAAAAATATGGATCCGAAAAAAAAAAAAAAATTATGTTATGATATCCTTAATATATACTCTAAGAACATGCGTGAAGCAACTTTTTTTTTTTACTTTTTTTGTATTCGAGGGTGTCCGAACTAATTTACGAATATCTCAACTAATCTTTTGAAGTATTGAAGTTAACGGTTAAATAAGTCTTTTATGTCTTATTAGTAATTATGGGAATTTAAGCTTAGAATCTCGAGAATAATACGCTCAAAAGTTTCAAGGGAATCGTCACCTTTAAAACTATGAATTTCAACGGGCTTTATTAATGTGTGAATAATCTAAATTGGGGTAAAAATAAACAGTAGAAATAGAGAGATTAATCAAATTTTAGAAAAACAAAGAAGGGTGAAAAAGGTTAAAAACGAACTGAAAACAACGCGCGCATAAAGGAACGTCTTTTGTTTTCAAAAGATATGTCGACGTCTCGCCCCCACTCGCACTGGTTTTCCGTGCCGAGTGTCACCACCACGCAAGACACATGCTTCGTTTTTCCACTTTTTTTTATCTCTTACTCGCAAGGGAATGCGCGTGTACGACACTGTTTGAATTAGATTCTTTTATGGAAAATGGTGAGAATTAAGGAGGAAGAGCGTGTTTTCGTTTTTACACGCGTTGTAATAAATTTTAAACGGCGTGGTTTTGAGGGGATTGAGAATAGTAAAAGGATGTCTTTCCAAACATGGAAGGCCTGCACATGTGGCAGTTGAAGTGGGGCCCCAAGAGACAAAACTTTAACCCAACATGTTCTGCCATGTGGCAACTATGGCCCCACATGTAATGTCCTCAACATGGGAAAAAGTAAAACTAAAATTATAATATATTTTTATTATCTGCTATTTTTTTAATAAATTATGTTTTTGTTATAGTAATTGATGGATTTAATAATGGGATAATTCTGGTTAAGCATTGCTATAAGTAGATTGCTTTAATTGCTGGAATTTTCTATTTTCAACACTAAAATTTCATTCCTTTTTATAGTAGTATTCTATTTGCTTAATCTTTTATTTTATTTTATTTTCCTAATAAGATCTGAAGTAATAATATCGTGGATGGCACGTTTGAGACATGGAACCAAATAAAGTAAATCAAATAAAAAAAAGAGAAATTTATTTGCAATTTAATTTGATTGGACTGATACATCTCGGAAGATCTTATTTTATATTGCATCCAGTTGACCATTATTTAAAAACTTCTTCCCAACAAAATATGGTAAAATCATATTGCCACCCCTAAGCTTTCATGCAAAAACATTTCCCCTCCAATAAAATATATTATATTTTTTTGGTAATCGGAGTGTTTAAGCCAGTTTGTGCGCATCTTAACTAATCTTCGAAGTCTATTGAACACTCTATAAACCCAAAGGATCAAGTAAGTCACAATGTTATTGTGGTAGGTGACCCTAAGGTTTGAACCCAGAAACTCAAAAAATAAAGCAAACCTCTTTGACCGGCCAACTCCTTAGGGCTATTATCAACATCTTTTCGTCTAACACAAATGCCTAATGTTATGTGTCAAAAATTGGGGGTGACATTGTGATAAAACCTTATATATATATATATAGAAGTCGAAATTCAATAAAATTGTCAGTGCTAGCTTGCTTAAAAATATCAAAGGGGGCCCTAGTTGGATGGAAAAAGAAGAACACGAAAAGTTTAGATGGGAAAAAATATTTTTAAATGTAATTAATAATGTTGAGATTCAATCTTTGATTTATAAAACATATGGGAAATTATTTAACATACTGGAAAAGTATGAACATTCGAATAATAAAAATATAAATATATGAAACTGATCACTATTTGAAACCCTAAATATTTCATGTCCATAACTTTTGATGAAGAAATATGGAAAGTTTGATGCGCAAATCTCAAGGAAGTGTAAGATAAAATGAATGTGTGAAGTTTGTTTGCAGAAGCATTAAGCAAAGGTTTTTGAGATAGTGGGGGAACGTGATGATGATGACAACGGAGATGGAGATGGAGATATTCAGATCAAACGACCAAGATTATTTAAATTTTTAATTCAAAACGACATGTTTGAATGTTGAAGGAGAATCCCATAAAGCCTGGATCAAGACAGACGTGACTTTTTGTTTTTGCAATTCTTTACTTTCCTGCATGGGGACCCGGTAATTGCAAAAGCCTAATGTATATATTATATAATAACGAGATTAGTTTTACTGTATATATATATATATATATTTTGATGTCACTTTCTTTTTGGTTTCGATTTGAATATCGATCTCAGAAGTTTCGTCTTTGGTACTGGATTCAACCGACCAGATTTGACTGCCTTGCCGTCTGTTTTGGGTGCATGCAGGCCTAACGTTATAATACCACATTACTTTTTCTCATTAAAAACAACACAGTTTTATGGTTATCATCAAGCATTATTAATTTAGATAATGAAGAAACATTGATTTTGTCTTGTTAATTGACCGCATGCAGAATCATTTTTACAGAGCTTGACGACAAACAAGCCTCAATGGCTCCATTTTGGTTAAATAAATTTATCCATGTGGGTAGCAATTGTCCAGATTGATTCCATCTGGGACTAAATATTAGTCTGAGGTACATAGTTTAAATTGTTTCATGTTAGGGAACATGGTGGACATTAAAAAATGATTGCAATAGATTTCATTAGATAGGGCTTTTATATGTTTAAACAAAGTAATTAATGGAAGAAATCTAGTGAATGGGGCCTTTGGATATGGCCATTTCCAAATCTGAGCCAACTTGAAAGAAAAACCCAGATAAATTTGAAGGTTAAAAGCTTTATCTTTTGAAGATAATTCAGATTTAGACTTCGCTTTAAATTGGTTAAGGTAAACAGTAAAGTAAAGAAGGGGACAGAAAATCTAAGTGGGGAATGGAAGATTGAAGCAAAAATTAACCCAACAATCTCTGCTTTAAAAGGACACAAATATAGCAAATCCAAGACAGATTTGATCACTCTTACGAACCAAAGATCGAAGAAGAAGCCTAAAAGAAAGCTCGCCTTCCCAGAACCATCAATACATTAACAAATCAAAACCATGCATTGCATGCACTTGACCTCCTATGAATGCTTTTACTTGAGAGTAACGTTTTGAATTGGGAGTTATCCTACGGTTCTTCTTTTTTACTTTAATGTTTTTGGCAAACCTATAAAAATAAAACTTGTGATTGCAGTGGCCTGGCTGGATGGATGGACATTTGATTTTCCATTTGAAAGAAAATACATAGAGAGGAAGTGATGTATAAACTTTCCAGTACTGTCAAATAGAACCCAGATAACAAATTTAGCCATGCAACGATGTTACACTTAACTGAACTTTTTTACTCTTCTGTGTTGAAAATCTGATCATGAAGTGAAATAACAACACAAATAAAGACTTTATTACGTTAATTTATTAACTTGTTCTCCATATATATATAATTTTCTGTGTGTCCATTCATTTCTCCTGCAGTTGCTGCCAGAAAATCACTTGGACTAAACAGAAAATGAAATACATTGTGGACATAAACATGGCTGGAACCCAATTGGACCAGATGATTTAATGGTTTCTAATTAATTATATAGATAAATCATAATCTATTCTTATTAGTAGGAATCACATGCATTGTTAGAGATAAGCTGGCTGCCCAATTAGCAGACCAAACACTCAGCAATTAATTATTCTGGTAATTGAGACAAAAGAGCTCCATTATCACCAAATTAAATACATTAATTTCCACTGTTTAATTATAGATAAAAACCCCACATCGTTAAAATATTAGGTAGGTCATGGGCAGAAAGGGACGCCATCAAGAGGATCCACATGTCAGAATGTTAAACGACGATGAGGTTATGATTCTGAATCATCTGGCGTCAGCCTTGAAGAACCATAGCTCATCTCTGAGTCAATTGTACCTGTTGCTTACGCATGCTTGATCTCTAACGTGGAAGTGGCTGATACCAGATGACCTCACACTACAGTCTCAGCAGCAGAGAATAGGAATTCTTGAATTTAATTGAAACAATCCAGTTTTCTTTCTTTCAGTCACTCCTTTGGTTTTGCATGCTTTTATTC